GACTCAATGAAATTATCAATGACAGAGTCAATGATAACTACCGCTCTCCTGTATTTTTCTCTTAAGAAACTCAATGATAAAGCGTTAGTAGTTATAAAGAGAGAGAGTTTATCAAAGCGGAAATAATTCAACTCGTTTAATTAATAAAGCGTTAAACGTAATTATTAATTCTTAATTTCTCAGCGATTAAAACAATTGTTTAGGGACAGTTAAACTATTTTTTAAAAATATAGATCCTCGATCTTCATTTATAATTTATTAATTAAAATAAGATTTTTAAAAAATAATTAAAACAGGTCTTTGTACTATATTATTAAAAAAACAACTAATGAATATAATAAATAATTTTGACTATTTCTAATTCTAAACCTATCGAATATCTTTTTTTTTAAATGCAAGGTAATCTTTTATAGAACCTACATGATTAACTTTTCTTCTAATAATAAAAAAAAAACTCTAAATAAAAACTAATATTCCTACAAATATTAGAGTAGTCTCCCTTGACAGTTTCTATTCGAATGTATTTTGTGTTAATTTTCGTTATGATATACAGTTGACTTTTTTAATTAATTATATAAGAAAACAATCTATCTCTGTGTATATTTATTTTAAAAAATATAATAACAATAATTAGAATAGGTATTTCTGGTTAAATAGCAATTATTCTCATTCTAAATCTTTGGCTATCGAGTTTCATGGGTTTTTAAATTTAAGATTATGAACACATTGGCTTGACGAAAATGATTATATACACTTAAATACATACTAAAATTTACTTTTGTTAATAAACCTACACTATTTTATGCACACATACAAAAAAGAATATTTTAGCGGCAGTTACAACGTCAAAAAAAAAAGGAAACTCCTTTATACTGAATAGTTCTACGTAACAACAAAAATGTAAAAATACATAGTCCTAGAGCACACTAACACATACATATATACATACGAACATATGTGTGTGTGTAAGTAGGATGTGAGGTGGGTAGACAGGTGGGTGGAAGGAAAGCAGTTTGGCAGGAATAACGGTAGGTAGGAAAGTAGGTAGGCAGGCAGCAGCGCAGGCAGGTTAGTAGATAGGTAGGTACGTAGGCAGGGAGTTAGGTATGTAGGTAGGTGGGCCTAGGTAGGAAGGCGCCTCACTCGGTATAGTGAGCGATTATAGTAGCCCATCATATTCATAGCGTTTCGCAATTATTAAAACGAACAAAGGTACCATAATACTAACGGGAAAACCCGGGGAGCTAAATGGAACCCTGCCAGGGCGCCACCAAATTGATTTTTTTTTCGCAGAAACCACCACAGGGGTATTAGCATTAACTTCTCAAATTTGAATGACAAACGAATGAAATATTTGGTAATGTTTAAACAAACAAACCCACATATTCGTTTTTGGGGCGCGGGTTTGTCCACACTGCCGCCTAGACGCATCAAGGCTCACTGTATGAAAGCCTTGAGTGTACGTTAATCAACCTCTGTAATAGTGAGGTAGAACACACATTGCGACCGCCCATGTGTTAGAGACGCGTCCCTTGGCGCTCCAGGGAGCCACTGGTTATACTCCCGCAGGGGCGCCCCTAATTCGGTTTAATTATAAAATATCGTGTGCCACCGTGTCCCTATTGTAGGGTGCTCTTTAAAGATGCACTCTCTGTAGAGCCCGGGGCGCTCGCTGTCGCCAACTGCCAGGGCGCCGGCGGGCGCTCATTATTCTACTTAGTGAACATTTATAGTAGCCCATCTAAACCGTAGTGTCGCCCGAGGTGGGTCTTGGCCGCTCTGGGCCACTCAACCGCCGGGGAGCTGGCGAATGAACCTGGTGTAGTTTTATCACTGAATCTCAGAGGCGTAGCACCATTCCTGGCGCCTGGGGACAAATTTTCAATTTGGCGCCCCCCCCCCTCCCGCCGGAGACAAACTTTCAATTTGGCGTCCCCCCCCCCCGTATTTTTTAAATATTTATAATGCAAAACTGTAGCTAAAATGAGCTTTAAATTTTTCCCACCCATTTTGGCGCCCCTAGGGTTGGCGCCCGGGTACATATGTACCCCCCCACCCCCCTCTACGCCTCTGCTGAATCTAGTTTTACCTAAGACCGCAATTGATGAGATAGCCCCTCTGGATTCCCCTCTGGATTCTAAGCTCATAATAATATAATGAGAAAAATCGAATCCTCCCAGGGTGCCACACTTAAGAATTTTTTTCTTTCTCGAAACCCTTTTCACCAACTCCCCAAAATTTTATGACTTTCGTACGAACAGTGTCAAATTGCATCTGGCTTTTATTTTTATGGAGAAAAATTGCATTGCTTCCTGTCAGAGACCGCAGATCGAATGGGGCGCCAAAAGGGGTAGACAATTTTTTAAAAATCCTCATTCTTCAGTAAAATTTAAGAAAACAGATTTATACATGACTGATATCCTCAATTATTTTATATAGGGGAGTGTAGGTAGGGATGGGCGCCTTTTTGCAAGCGTTTGAATAGGGTTGGCACAACATTGATAGTTCGCCCCGGGCGCCGGAATAGGTTGCTACACCTCTGCTTCCTGCTAGGGCGCCGCCCTGGCGAAATCTTACCGGGGGGGGGGCGTGCGGACACTGTTAAAAGTATATATTTTTTTCTATATAAATTCCGTTTCGTTCGGGGGTGGGGGGTCGATAGACTTTCTTCGGGGGGTGCGGGGGCTCTGCCTCTCCCCCCCCCCCCCCCCTCCGAATAGATTCCTGGAAAAAACTCTGTTCACAAAGTTTTATGGTGATCCGATGGAAAAGATGTAGTAATTCATATAGGACAAACAGATAAACAATCTTTCATTTCTATAAATATAAATAGATATATAGGGCCTACTTTAACTAGTGTCCGCATACCTGCACCCGGAAACTTAGTCACAATTTTCTTTGTTACATTTGAACCCTTTAGGTTAATCAATATTAACAAAATTGAACAAGATGCAACAAATACAGTTAACCAAGAAATTGAACAAGTAAAATTCCCGTTATCTTTTTATTGTTTTTAGATATAGAGTAGTAACAGACTACCTACAGGTCCTAACTCGCGACGAGGTACACATTTGTATTAAAACACACATCTAAGACATTTACCATTTAGGTGGGTTTTGCAGTACAGCGGTTTCTTAAGTCGTGGACAAGTGATTGCGCTTATCTCTATTGAGTAGCTCTGTATTCTGTCCTATATTAGACACATTTGTAAATATCTGTCACAATATGGGCATAGAGATGATATAACGATAGCTTATCTTTGTGGACGACGCTAAACTTTGGCATCGACACCACCGCCTACAACTTCAAATTCGGTCCTTCAGAAATGTTTGAAGTCTCTAGATTAAAACTACTTTTCTCTTTTATGTGCCTACTGACCACATCACATGCATTTGTTCTGAAAGTCTAAAAACAGAGGCACAAATATATCGTCTAGACTTGTGAGGTCTACAGATTAGGTATTTTGGCAGTTATCTAAGCCTTTGCCTGTTCTGACTCAAAGCCTTATTCTTTCTCTATCGACGCCTTGCGTAACATGGGATTGGGTTTTTAAGGCGGCATAAAGCTTTATGTTGTTCCTTTTTGAGTACACTAGATTAAAAACTAACGTTTTCAGATGCCTAAAGATGTTTAACCACTAATTAATCAGAATAATGGGTCAAGATTTCAATTCTTGGTTTTGGGACACGTTAGTTGCCGGGGTTGAGCTAATGTCGATAGCATAAGGACTGTACCTTGATGCGGGCGTTTTATTTGTTGCCCATCGTAATAATTGAATGGTTGATGGGGCTTCTTCAAGGGTTAGATTTGCCGTAATGTTATTGATATCATGCATGTAAGGCTTTTCTAAGAAGAAAATGCGTTAAAACACTTTTTAGTTATGCTTTTTTTTAAATAGGCCTATATTTTACGACAACTTAATCGTAATGAACAATAATATGAATTTAAACAACTTTAGAATACATCTGTTTCGGCTAACATGAATGTTATTCTTCAAACTAGTAATGTTAAACGTGTCTTTTTCGCATTTTCGACTTATAAGCAATACAGTAAATTCCGAAAACGTCCATATGCGTACAAGCAATGGCGTAGGCGAGGAGGGGTTTAATAGTGATTTAATAACGATACTTTCTTAACCCTCTACTGGACATTATATTTGGTACATTGCCCCCGACAACTGGGTGGATTTGGATTACACCCAAGTTTTACTTCATAGTAAATGACTTCAGTTTTAATTATTGGAGTTGGTAGCAACATTGACACAGTTGAAGGTATTCAGAACAAGGTGGCCAGGAGAAATCACATTAATTAGTATAAAATTTACTATTATTAACAATAGGCCCTACTTAATTGTTTAATGTTGCTGGATATTAAGCCTGGTAGGTATTTATGTTTATTAATTTGTACAGAAACAAAAAAAAAAGATTCCCAAACAAAGTTTTATTTTTCAGAAATAAAGAAAATAATACAAATCAATAAAGAACAGTTTTCAAAAGAATTTGTATAAAAGTAATTATTATAAAATAGGAATATAGCATTGCATAGATAAAAATAAAATCCTTGACACAAACAATATGAGGAATATTTTTTATCAGAGAAGAGAAAAATATATGATGTAGTTTGAAAATAATAATGTACAGAATGTAGCTTTTGCAGATTATAATGAAAATTCTCATGCCTGTATAATTTATTGAGTAAATGAAGCAAGGCCCAAAACACTAGGCTAAATAATATGCATGGGACAGGCATTGAAAACTACAAATTGCATATAGTGAAGGTTACCCTATTTATTGGCTATATCCACAGTAAAGATTTATTGCTTTATTACCTGCTTGTAAAATTGTTAAGGAAAAAGTGAAGTATTGTTAACGGCACATGTTGTCATTTGTTGTGTTCTCGGCACATGTTGCCATTTTGTGTGTTCTGGGAACATGTTGCCATTTTGTGTGTTCTGGGTACATAATGACATTTTGTGTGTTCTGGGAACATGTTGAAATTATGTGGCTGTGTTCTGGGAACATGTTGACATTATTTGGCATTGTTCTGGGAATATGATGCCATTATTTGGCTGTGTTCTGGGAACATGTTGCCATTTTGTGTGTTCTGGGAACATGTTGCCATTTTGTGTGTTCTGGGAACATGTTGAAATTATGTGGCTGTGTTCTGGGAACATGTTGACATTATGTGGCTGTGTTCTGGGAACATGTTGACATTATGTGGCTGTGTTCTGGGAATATGTTGACATTATGTGGCTGTGTTCTGGGAACATGTTTGTTTCATTTTCAAATATTATAATAAAACATTTTTAGAAATTCTATATTAGGAATTGTGTATATATATATAAATTTATATATTTAATAAGACAATTGGATGAATTATAATAAACAGCAAAAATGATTCAAATAAGTTTAGAAGTATTTGGCTTGATGTCCCAACAGTGAACTGTATTCCGAGCTTGTTTCCCTAGTGATAACCCATCTTTTTTGTGCCACCCTTTCAATCAAATATCCAGCTTTTTCTTGGCCTGTATCATAATGCTGGTCATAGACTTGCTTGATTTGTGTATCACAATATGATTTTGAATGTTCTTCTGTAAATGAAATAAAGACAAAATATTTTGAAATATTCTTTTGTGGAACTAGCAAGAGAAATACATTACAAATTTATATTACTATCTCTACTTATTCTTTACTATAACTAATTACTTTGAAAAGATAAAGCACTGAACATGATGAATAACAAGAAACAAACATTATCAGCAAAGATTATAGATTTAAAATTGTGTTCATTCATATTGAAGATTAATGAAGTAGACTATCAATATTTACCCTCTTGATAGCTGATACTTTGATGTCTTTACTTTAAGCTTACACATCAGTCTCTGTGTGGTAAAATATGAAATAATATGCTTCAATAAAACTGTTTCAGTATATTAATTATATTAGATAAGTACATAGTTTTGAGCTCTATAACAATATGTGTTTCAATTATCATTCAAATATAATACCCTCTATGTTGTACAACTCACTGATTTATTAGAATTTAAGAAAAGACAATAATTAATAAAATATTTTGGATTAAAATCCATTATATTTATTATAACATATAATGATTTCTCTTGCTATAATAATTACTTTAAAAAATGGGTTATGCCTATAGTACAGTTACCTGAGGATGAAACTAGGCACAGTGTATAGTCCACGGAGACTGATTAATATCCCTTGTAATTGAACATCAGTTGTAGTTATGAAATCTGGATGGCCAAACACACACTCATAGTCCTGAAAAGCAATTTACACATAGATTAGCAAGAATATCTCACAAATTATTAAATTAAAGCTAACCCCTATTTAGTGCAGTCCATCAAAGTAGTAGCATTTTTGTTAAGTTGTAGACACAATACAAAGTAATGTTTGTTCTGTGATTTACATACTGTTATAAAATAGCAATATATATATATATATATATATATATATATATATATATATATATATATATATATATATATATATATATATATATATATATATATATATATTCATTGTAAATTTTAGTTGTGTCTTGCTATTAAATTTATTTACTCGACTGATCTAAACTCACTCTATTTAAACATAATATAGTGGATAAGTATAGTGATTATATTATTCAGCAATTAATAGCAGGCCTAAAAAAATTTAAATAGTAACTTTTGCGAATGAACACATTAAATTCTATGTATTTCCATTTCTATGTATTTCCCAACTTGATGCATATTACTAACCAAGCATTAAACTTTAGTCATAAACCTGACTCTAATTACCATTTATTGGACAACCTGAACCTTTGCGATACCATGTTATAATATATTATTTTAAAAAAGAGCTTACCACTAATTACTAAAATCAATTGTTTTTAGTATTAGCTGAGCCGCATACTATCTGCTCCTATTGTCATCACCAGAAATCCAGTATGTTGGCAAAGATTAGTCTCTAAGTTCCCTGCAACCTCTTTCCTCTCGAGTGCGGAAAACACTGAAATCATTAATCATTATTTCATTATGCCTAATAGTTTAAAGGTAGTATTAAAGTAGTACTAAATAGTACGAGTCTTAGTTACTATAAGTCTAATGATAATTATTATTGTGTATGCTTACATGCTTTAAGTTTTATGCACAATATTGGTATATAATATATAGTCTATAGTATAGGCCTATAGCCGAAGCTATAGAATATATAGGCCTATAAGCCTAAATATAACAGCAGCTTGAATAATGCTCATTAGCATTTATTCACTATAAACTATAAAGATAAACAAATGTTTCAATTTAATTTAATTATAACTAATAATAGTAAATAGGCTTTTTTCTTGTGGTAACAAATTTAAAGTATAGGGCAGTACAGTTAATATAGTATAGGCCTACTAAATTCTATATTTAAGTATGTGGGCTTTTCATTCCAATGCACCACAATAGATACCACACATGATCAAGCTGGACCTCTGATCTAAAGATTTAATAATTGGGCCTAACAAACAGTGAAACTACAATAAAAATCATGTAAATTACTAATTTAACTTTAACCTTCTTACCTCCGCTTCTCTAGAGTAGATCTAGATGGGTTTTTTATGCAGCCGTATTATTAGATTCTAGAATCTAGACTATATCCTAATAAACATGAAATAACTACTAACCAGAACACTAGATCTAAATTTCTATATTCTATGCAATATGTATTAAACCTATAGGCCTAATATTTATTTTAAATTCCTATGCGATGTGTCGTGAACTGTAGGTTTCATGTTATTTTTGTAATGGCGGAAATCAGTTTAAAATTTCGTTTCCTTCCTTTTGTTATTCTATTTATAGATTCAAACTGCTTAGAGACGGAGCAATTATCATTGAGTTAGTCGGCCGATCCACACAGGAAGTGCGGGTATATCTATGACTTACTCAGTGATCTGATCATTGACAGACACAGAGATAGCCATTCGCATGGGGTGGAGAGAGAGAGAGAGAGAGAGAGAGAGAGAGAGAGAGAGAGACGGAAGTGCGCACATGGGCTTTTGTTTATTAGGATTTTTTAAACTTTTAAGTAATTAAAAACGGATTTAAATCATGTCTATATCCCGAGTTGCCATCCTCCATAGTCTTATATAAGAATATTCGAGAAAGTTTAGGGGAGATTAATTTGTTTAGCAACCATGAGCTTTACCTACCCCCACGCCAATAACTTCTTTACACATTGCCGAGAAAATTGTTAGAATCAAATATCCCGGAACGTTAAAGAGTACTGTCTTTGCATTTTATTCTATTATTTTAAGTTCCCATTGTTTTTTTCACAAAATGAATACATTTTTCGAAACAAAACCAGTGCGACTCAAAAGTTAGAAAGCTATAAATGCACATACACATTTTATTATAATTATAAAAATAAAACATGCCAAATCACCAGATAAAAGCATACATAATGGTAACAATATTACAATTAACAAGCTCATAAAATTACAATTTTAATGTTTATAAGAAATATAGAAGAAAATTTTTAAAATATTTACTGATCTTAAAGATTGAAAAATAAGTAGAAATCTACATTTTATTTTAGATTTATTCTCATTTAGCAGATACATCCCTTTTCATTCTTGTTAAAAACAGTTTTTAATGTATTTGATTTTATCATATAATAAAGAGCGAGTAATCTCGGGATAAAGATATGACTTTTAATCCATTTTTAATTACTTAAACTTTTAAAATATAACGTGAAATAGTATCTGAATAAAAATGCGAAATATTAGTACTTTATAAATTCATATTATCTTTTTTTTAGAAATCGAAATAAGCGTCAATTACTATTTCTGGTCAAAGGAAATTACTCAAAATTTGACAGAACGCAGAGAATTAGATCTTTTATTGGGGATCGGCGTGGTCGAGTCGGTAAAGCTCATGGTTACTAAACCGTAAAGCCTCGGGCGGATGAGGCTCGTTAGCTGGGGACAGCCACTTTTCTAGGAGAGAAAACTCCAAAATCAAACAAAATCTTGTAGTGTGTTCTTGCTTGGACAAAGGCTATGGAAGTAAATTAAAAAAGAAAAGCAGGCTGAAATCGAAATTCAATAGAGTCCTTTCATATGACATCACGTCCGTTCGTGATACCTACGTCCGCCGCCACGGTGGTGTACACCAGACGTAAACACAATTAGCTGTTCACCAGCGCTGGACGCGTTCACTGTATGTAAAGAACCGCACCCGCGGAAAAGGAAAATGCGATAAAAAACTTGAACTCTTAGGAATTGAAGATCCTTATACTGTTATTGACAGTTTCGTAGATAATATAAATATGTGGCCAAAATTTCTAAATAAAAATACTGTTAGTAATACTGTTTGCGTTTAGAGTTTAAGTAGAAGAATCTGATCAAATGCAGTTCTCGATACTTTGTTTCAGGTAAGGACAGTAAAATAATAAACTTCATTTTAATTATAAAATATAACTATTAATAAAACAAATATGCTCGACCTTCACAAATACTAATAGTAAAAGACAAAGTCAAAAGTAATAATAAGAATAATAAGATCTAATAGTAGGCCTAAAAATAGTGTTTTAATATCTAGATCTAGAATCTAGCTTTAAACATGGCGTAAACCAAATTCGGACCACATATCTAGATTCTGGATTTAGGGTGACTGGATCCGCTGGGTAGACATATAATCTAGAATCTACTTCTTTACTTAATCTCGCTCTACAATCTAATCATTTTTTTAGCAAACGAAATTTTCTGAAATTGAAATAGATTGTATGACTAGACTTAGATCTAAAATCTGTTACTTAAATTAAATTTTAAAAATTGTATACAAGCATGTAATTGATATTATTGTAGTAGAATGCCTTAATAAATTACTAAGGCCTACCTACTTTATGTCTTTTTTTACAGCAATATGTATCTGAAACTGGACTGAGTTTAATTAAATTAAAATGCATATCTAGTAATTAGTCTACTAAGTTTATGTAGCCTAGTAGTAGAATCTAGATCATACCATCCAACAACAAATAACCACATTATTATTATATGGTTAATGATTAGGCTAATTTTTGTTTAATCCACTGTTTATAAAAGAAACAAATCAAGCTAAAACATTATAAGACTGAGATGGTTTAGAATAATAACAATGGACCCAGTCTACAATTGATACAATTGCAGGTCTACATAGGGCCTACAGTCTAGTAATTTACAGTAGGCATTAACTATTTTGTATACAATCTGGTTTAATTTCAAGAAAAAATAAATTTTCAGAAACGAATTATTTAAAAAAGGAATAATTCACACTCAAATGATATTTAATATTTTAAATACGTAATAAATATTACTTGAAACATGTTGAATGTAAAAATATTGTTTACAAAGTTAAACATTTTAGCTTACTAGAAAATCTCGAACTCAATTTTACATATATTATGAAGTTAATAGATGCAGTTAGCTGATATAAAATAATGAATATGTTCATTATATCTTTATCATAAAAATCCCATCTTATAAAAGTTATTAAATAAAATATTGTTAAGGGTGAAACAAGCACCACAAATGATACACACACAGCAACCATCATTTTAATTGCTTTTATTTCTTTCTTTTCTTTTATTCCACTTGATGTCGATATTTTTATTTTGTCCGAATTACATTTTAGAATTATTATAATTAGCGATGTACAAAAGGTTATTATTATTAATGGTACAATAGAAACCAAAAACAGCCTAAAAATTTCAAAGTTTAAACTAAAATATATACCGTTCGACACTGACGTATAAGTTAGATGGTTATTTGAAAGAAATTTATTGCAGTACATTGATATGTATATGTTTTTAAATGTAACTAATATTAAAACATAAGTAACCAACAGAATAACAACACACACAATACGTCTAGGCTTGCATAATTCAGAAACATCAAATGGCAAAGATACAGCAAGCAATCTCTCAACAGAAATCAATGCTACTATGTGATAACTAATGGCTGAGGAAAATTGATGCATGAATATATCATTTAGCACAAATTCATTTTCAAGTTTTAAAATATCGTCAATGCTCCCCTCTGGTTCGAATATCAAATAACAATATCTAATGAGGCCAGAACAAGAGAAGATAAAATCAGAGACGGCAAGAGAAAAAATAAACACATTGGTTGAAGAGTTCAATTTTTGTTGGTAAACAATCACCATGGTAACAGCGCTACTGAATATCCCTAGTACTACAATTAAGACAAAGATAACATACTGTAGTATTTTCAAAACATATATTATTAATATTATATATAAGGGTAATTCTTCCTTAGAGGATACAGTTGTAAGTTCTGAATTTAGTGTTTCAAATCCATAGACTTCTTCAAGCGACATGATTGTTGATAAGCTGAAAATCTAGTCAAAATATCTGAAAAGAAATTCGGCATAAACGTTTCATAAATAATACACACACACGCACACACACACACATATGTATATATATATATATATATATATATATATATATATATATATATATATATATATATATATATATATATATATATATATATATATATATTAAAGGCTGATAATAAAAGGGGTTGAAACTTTAGGTCTAGTGCCTTCTTTTGAATTTATATTTTTATAAACATTAATTCTCTAAAAATAATCTCAGAACATCTTAACATGGTATATATTTTATTACTGTCCCCAATTTTACCATTCAACTGGCATCTAGAGGAAATCAAAAATTATAAAATTAAGCTCTTGTTAATCTCAGAACGTCTTATCATGGTATATATTGTATTGCAGTAAATAATGTAACCATTGAACTGGCATGTGGAAGAAATCAAAATTTTAAAATTTGATTTCTTGTTAGTACCGGAACAACACTCATTTGAATAGCTTAGTAATCCTTGATATTTTTACCTAACTCAATATTTGGTTATATTTGCCTTTCCATTTTAAAATGTTTACGCTTACAACTCAACATTTCTGATTTAGCAATATTGGTAAAAAGTAATTTCCCTATTTTCAACGATTTACAACTTTCCTCACTTTAAAATGCTTTAATAATCAAAACGACTTGATTTGGAGTTTGTGAAAAAAATTACAAAATTAACTGCTGCGTTAAGCTGATACATTATGGATGTAAGGACACACAGAAAATAGTCATAACTATTTATTGAATTTGAGGTTTTGAGAATTCCTTGAATTATTTGAGTGGGAACAAAGATTACAAAAAAGGTTACACAAACTGTGACAATCATTCGGATAATTTTCAGATCTTTCATTTTTATAGATTTAAGTGAATTTCTCGGAGTTTTTTTAAACGTTTTTGATAAAATATGTAGTTTAAGTAATACGATGATCATACAAACAATTACAATTACAAAAGGAATGCATACTGTTAGTATAAATAGATTAGTATATTGAAAATATTGTGAGCTATTAAAATTAATTAAATCTTCCATCTCAACTCGCATTATGTTAAATATATATCTACCAATATAAAATGCAGTAAAGTTATTCTCAAGAAGACATGTAAGCAGTGAGTATAAAAAATTAAAAACAACTACTGCTGTGATTTTCTTTAAAGTAATAAGTTTGTTATACCTCAATGGCAAACATAGAACAACAAATCTTTCAAACGAAATTAACGCCACTTGGTGAAAACTTGCCAGAACGGCGAATCTGTTCAGTAAAATTGTAAGATTGAAGTAGACTACTCGAACACTGGAGATGACCGAATAGCAGTATCTACTGCAGACAACCAGAAACACAACTTGCAGGCTTGTGATAGAAAATAGCAGGTGAGTCGCTGCTAGTGACGCGATGATAATGTTAGTTGGGTCCTTCAGTCCTTGTGACGCCACGTCAGTTAGTGTCATACAGTTACCCGTGATTCCCAGGACACTCAAAATTGAC